TGTATACACATAAAGTACAGACTCAATTGTATTCTTGTATACACATAAAGTACAGACTCTCAGTTGTATTCTTGTATACACATAAAGTACAGACTCTCAGTTGTATTCTTGTATACACATAAAGTACAAACTCTCAGTTGTATTCTTGTATACACATAAAGTACAGACTCTCAGTTGTATTCTTGTATACACATAAAGTACAGACTCTCAGTTGTATTCTTGTATACACATAAAATACAGACTCTCAGTTTTATTCTTGTATACACATAAAGTACAGACTCAATTGTATTCTTGTATACACATAAAGTACAGACTCTCAATTGTATTCTTGTATACTTGCAAAATACTGATTCTGAACATAAACCTTCTCGATTAAAAAGAAAGCAAAAAAAATTATATTACCCAAAACGTGACATATATGTGAGCTCTACCTTGACATCTGTCTTATAGTAGTATCGTCCACAAAAGAATTTCCACAACATCTGTAAGATGTTTACAAAACAGTTTCAAGGTACAAACCTTGTTCTCCAGGTGGTTAAGGAATGATGTTTCTATTAAGTGTGCTAAACACTGAAAGTTGTTCTAAAGTCCCTACTTAACACACAATCAAATTATAATTTTAAATAAATGCATTCCCTGTACATGGAATATTTTTATATCTCATCCCATTCATGAGATTAGTGAACCCAAACTTTAAAGGTAAAGTATCAACAAACTCCACGAAGCGAAAGGAAGATCTACTAGATATAAATTAAATTATAAATATATCAATTCATGTGAATATGACTGAAAAATTTAATTTTTTCTGAAAAGGTGGTGTCTATTTACTTGTGACCACGCTGTGTATATGTATTGTTCAACCAAAGTTCATGATTACGTTAAGAAGCACATAGGATTTACTGCACATCCAGGAATTATGACTTTTTAGGAGCTGTGGTCATTTGTCATTTTTGTTATCAAAATCCAAAGAAATATTTTAGGGAAGGGTTTGATTTTTGTGAAAGTTAGTTGTAGTTTTTCACCAAACAAATGGGGAAAAAAAGGCAGAAAAGTTCAATATTTAGCATCACGAAGATATGATGAGACCAGAATGGTTTACAACATCTTAGTGATAACAGCAACCTACTTTACATCATTTAAAGCTTATCATTACTGTTTCCAGTTGGTACACAATGAGGTTGTTATGTCGAAACTCTGCAATCAAGGCAAGGCTTTTGAAATGAGAAAATAGCAAAGATGTTAAAATTAAGCTCACTTTGAACTGAATAAGAGTACAGTTATTGTTTCAAAAAGAAAAAAGTAATGTTTAAAGCTCAGTGGGCAACTTGTTTTTCCCCTGTTTCCTTCTGTTTAGTCTGTGTGACTTTTAATTTCAGTTAAACTTTGTAAAAATTCATGAAATTGATACTGCATGCAGCGTGTATTAATAGTCAAGTTATATTAAGTTTGATATTATGTATATATTTATTTATTGTTAAAACTTTCTTATTTTAGCTATTAAAAAGTGGCCAAGCTAATTTTTGTAAAAGAAAAGGAAACAGAAGACTGGTAAATGCCAATGTTTAAGTTGGTTGAATTGCACTTGGACACACGCATGAAGATTTAAGACTTCTCTATTTTAGTTTTTTTTCTGTTCTCATCCCTGATCATAAACTTTTATGACCAAGTACTGGTATTGTCTTGAAAACTCACATTTGTGTTAATACGGTTAATTAAATATGGTTTTCATCACTTTCTTTTAACCTATCCTTGCTTCATCAGCTTAAACCTGTAATATTATACCTAGAATCATTTCATATACCATAAGGGTCATACATATTTTAGTGACCACTGAATGGACTCTCTTGTGGGACAATCATATAAAAAGTTAATGAATTGCATCAGAGATAAAATTACTATAGCCAAAAGTTATATAAACAAATTTGATTTATATTTGTCAGTTTGATGTTAATACTTATTTTTTATGGTTTTTATGTAGGTTGGTCTGCGACAGCTAGATATGTCACTGTTATGCCAGCTGTGGTCACTTAATGAGTCCATTCAAGAATACAAACAGCTGGTTCAGGAACGAATGTCTGCTTCTACGTCCTATGCTTCTTCACCTGGCTGGGACAACGGATTAGACTCGCCTAGCAGTGAAGAGTTACTGGACATCAATCTGAAACCCTTTGAACTTCAGCGCCCAATACCACAGCCTAACAGAATAGCAAACCACTTGGACCACAGAGACTTAGCCTCTGTTCCAGAGGATTGCTACTCTTATTCCAATTCTTCACATTCTAGTTTAGAATTTGAAGATGTTTGATGGGCTTAGAAGTAGAATCTCTCAAGTTGACTCAGCCATTTATACTTGGTTCACTGAACACGAAGAAAGGAAACTCTAAGTTATTTATTTAACATATGTTAAAGATGTAACCTATTACATTTGTAGTGTAAAAAGTTTGATTTCTAGAGGAAATAGTAATGTTTTGTGGTATCTTCTCTTTTTCTTAATTAACCTGAAGTTAAATACATGAACAGAATTTGGTTTATTAACTAGTTCTGTTTAATGAAAGTTTATGTTAAAACATTATTAATTTTTAATTTTACAGCTACAAGTGACTAAATAATAGTCTTTTAGTTGAAGTGAAACAGCAGTAACCTATTTAGAAATTTAATACCTAGAAAATCATGTCTAACAACAAGTATGTTATCTAATTATGTTTTTATTCAATTCACAACAAAATGGCACAACACAGAATGACAGTCCAGGAGCAACACTGTGTAGGTGGTCTTAGATATGCAATAGCCACCAAAGGTGAAATATGTTTGTGATTGTGTTTTTATTGAATTCACAACACAGAATGACAGTCCAGGAGCAACACTGTGTAGCTGGTCTTAGATATGCAATAGCCACCAAAGGTGAAGTATGTTTGTGATTGTGTTTTTATTGAATTCACAACACAGAATGACAGTCCAGGAGCAACACTGTGTAGCTGGTCTTAGATATGCAATAGCCACCAAAGATGAAATATGTTTGTGATTGTGTTTTTATTGAATTCACAACACAGAATTACAGGCCAGGAGCAACACTGTGTAGCTGTTCTTAGATACACAACAGCCACCAAAGGTGAAATATGTTTGTAATTGTGTTTTTCCTTAATTACAAAATAATTGTGCCATTTTTTTTTTTTGCCTTCCATAGAATGTACCATTTTGTCGATCTTCTTGCACTGTATTTATCAACATTGTTAGCTGTGAAAAGGCATTTCAATATTCAAAATGTGGCTAAAATCATTATGTGAAAGTACTGTTTGTGCAAAAGCTTACTAAGTAGTGTTCCACTCTTATACCAAGTTAAGTGTTGTGTCTGCTAGGTAGTGAAATATTATTACTTTATTCTAACGTGGAGGACTTTTTTTATTGCTATTTTGTGGTTCGGGGTAGCAAGTAAAAGTATTATACTAGGAAGAGAAACTTTAATCAGTGTTTTGGAGAAGTGAATTGTTGACATGCTAATGATTGGGCTGGTCTGGCAGCTACCTTTTTTTATACTTTAATGTTATCTGTTCTGTTTTTGTTTTTTCTTTTTGCTTTAGTGGCTGTAATTGATTTGTTTATTTTGGTTATGTTGTCATCATTTTTATATAGCTACCCATTACAATTGAAATTCTGCTTTGGTTTTGAAGGCTTTGAATTTTTTCCCATTTTGAACTTGATCTTCTCGTCCTTGTGACATTATTTGCTCCTTAAACTGTTTGTATCTTCTGAAAATGTGGAAATTAAGAGATTTGATTTTTCTTTCCTCTTCTTAGTTCTTTAAGTTTTTCGACTTAGACTGATTGTCATTTGTATGCAGGCAGCTAGAGATTATGGCCATATCAGTTCTAGACTTAGAACTTAATTGTTTACCTCTTAATTTTTTAAGCAGAGATGATCTTACTTTCTTACCTAGACTTAAGAAGTTTGTTAGATTTATGCAGATATTAATGTTGGCTCGTGAAGGAAGTTATGCCTTATTTCTTATCAATTTTTGGAGGTGAGAATGTGTATTTTTTCCCTGATAGCTGCAGCTCCTAATATTTTGCTGTTAGTCTAGGTTCTGTGTTCTTTTCCCTCCTCCGTTATCATGTGTATCCCACCACTTTTAGCCTAGGTTCTGTGTTATTTTTCATCCTCCGTTATCACGTGTATCCCACCACATTTAGCCTAGGTTCTGTGTTCTTTTCCCTCCTCCGTTATCACATGTATCCCACCACTTATGGTTGTGTATGATCTTCATGGAGTTTTTTTTTTTTATGTTCAAATGGCAACAATATCTTTCTTTTTTTTGATAAGATTAAAATATCTAGTTTTTGGCTTATAATGGAAGCATCCACTGCATTGTTCTTAATGATTGTAAAACCCTTAAAACTACTTTGATAATTGCAGTTGGTATTGATTGTCCTAAGGTACCTGTGGCTTTCTCTTAGACTAGAGATATTCTCCGCTTACCCAATTTCTAAGACATTAAGAATGTGAATTTTATATATATTTCTTCATCAGCCCCACCATGGGGCAAACTTATGGATCAACTAATTGCTCTATTCTACTTAAAAGGTGGTTATCTAAAATTAATTTCTACTTAATTTGAATTTCACACTGATGAAGAAATAACAATTTTTAACATTACATGAAACAGTACTGACACATTAATAAACCTGGGTAGTTTTTCTTTTCCTGTTCCTTGAGCTTTTAATATACAATTTGCTAATCTACTTGGCATCAGTAACAACAGATTTATTCATTGTAACCTTTAAAATATTTTGCATACAAGTACTGAAACAAATTAAGCATCAAATAATAATAGCTTCATAATCATTCCATCATCAAGTCAGGAAAATAAATACAAAGAATTAAATATCATACCTTATAGTTCATTAGGTCATCACCAGGGATTTCATTTGTGCAGGTTTTGAAATGATGAAATTGGATAATTAGGTGAAACTACGTTAGCCATTTTAAAATTTAACCAAAATTGTTGCAGGCAATACTAAAGTTAGTACCAGAAAGTTGTAAAGAATAATGCTTTTGAATTTATATTTTATATCAGAACTGTAATACTGGAAATAAAAAAATAAAATAAATTTACTTAACTCTGTATGGACAGGTGGAGGGTCAAAGTGTGCAAGCCACGACTTTTTACAGAGTGCCATTCAACATGATATTGTGTATTTGATGTCAGTGTTACCAACTGTTCATTTTACCATACATTACTGATTTAACAACAGTTCATGATAGAGGAGAGAAAATACCAGATACAATATACAGGGATACTGAAAAAAACCTGTAGATATGGGTGTTAGATATTCTAGAGGTTATGCAAACTATATGATAGACAAAAGTCACTGTTCCTTTTCCGACACGGGATTGGTCCAATGGACTCAGCCCAAGCACGCTCGGTTAAATAGGTTTTTGTTTGAAATTAGTAAAAGAAATTGTATATTTTGAGTCATTGTCTGTACTAGTTCACTGAAGTCTTAAAAATAATTTACATACAGCTTTAGTCTATAGGAATATATTTGCACTGAATTTCAAAGTGGTAAATGGAAGGCACTTGAAAAAAAAAGGATTTTTTTGCATCTTGTTTATATAAACGGACTTGCAGTTTGAAAAATAATGGCATTGCTAACACTTGAATTTACAAAGAAGGTCTTTCCTCGATAATCACTAGTTTTTTTAAGTTCAAAACATTTTTACTAACTTAGTTGACCTGCAGTTCTGGAGTTACTGCTGTCACACACCAGTTAATCATAACTGTGTAAGACGTACCTTGTAGAATCATTTGATATTTACTCAACTCCTTATACCTTGGTAGGTTAGGTACTGTTTGAGTTACTATCTTGAAGATTATTTGAAACATTTTGACATTGCTGTCATTGATCTCCAATTTTTTACAGAACAGGAATATATTAGTATGATGTATACAAGTACAGACATATTTATCACTTTCTTGAAATGCTTGGTTTGTTGATCTCCCTAATGTCATAGTTGTGTGAGGGTTCTTGCTTAAAGTTTTATGAAAAAACTGAAATCACTCTCTTTAAGCACAAAAAGGAATATTTGTAATGAACACTACAACATCTGAATTGGTCTTCTTCATACTTCTAAGGCTTCAACCATTAAAAAGGTGTATGTGATGAAGTTGAGAAGCATCCACTACTCTTTGATACTGTTCATGTCGTAGTAATCACTCGGCTGTGTGTTGGCAAAATGTAATTTAGAATTTACAAAAATAAACTAGGAAGGTTTGTCATTGTGATTGCCTCTATCTGCTTGACTTTGTTTTCATTCTTACAAGATCCCATTTATTATGTTATTTCTTTGGCCCCATCACTGTTAGCTTATCTGTGGTCATATTAAATGAATAATTGTTGCTGTTTTTATCTTATTTTGAATTCCGTCGTACATCTGTAGGTTGAACTTACAGAATGTAAGGCATTAACTTGCACATATTTTTTTAAGATAATTAGTCAAATATCTTTTTAAAACAGTCATGTAGGGGATAAGAATGTTCAAATTATTGCCACGGTGTGGGCAAAAATCCCACAATCTAAAATTGACGAGATGATTCTCACGATGCCCCAGCTTCTAAGAGCAATCTACTCCAAGTTTTGAAGCAAGAAGGTTTTTTGTTTGTTTCTTGACTTGCCGGTCGAGTATGGCCCAGAGGTTTTCGATGGGGTTAACGTTAGGAGATTGGCTCGGCCAGGGCAACTTCTGGATACCATTTTCTTCCTACCATTTTTTCGTGTTTCTAGCAGTGTGACAC